AGTTTTTGACTTATCAAAAATAACCTTTAATATAAGCAAGTTAAGGTTTCCCATCAAAAGATGTGAAATAAGTGAATGGTTTAAAAAATAAGATCCAGCAATATGCTGTGAACAAGAGATCCTGCTAAGCATCAAGATGCACATAGGCTGGAAGTGAAGGAATGGAAGAAGTCCCATGTCAATGGTAACCAAAAGAGAACACTGGTGGCTACACTTATATCTGACAAAATAGCCTTCAGATCAAAAACTCTCACAGGAAACAAAAAAGAGCATTATTTAATGGTAAAGGGAACAATTCATCAAGAGTACATAAAAATTGTAAATATATCTTCACCCAAATTGAAGCATCTAAAGACTAAAGCAAATAATAATGGACATTAAGGGAGAAATAGATAACAGTACAGTAATAGTAGAGGGCTTCAATATCCCACTTCCAAAATGGACAGAGTACCCTGAAGGTAAATTAATAAGGAAATACTGCACCTCAACCGCATTTTTTAACAAGTGGACCGAAACAGACATATGGAAATTTCTATTCAACAACAGACTATACATTTTTCTTCCCTCATAAATAGCCCTAGGACTATTTATGATTATATATTAAGCCATAAAATAAATTTTAAGAAAAATTATTTCATATCTAGTATTATTCAAATAACAATAGTTGAAGTTGGAAAAAATAAATGATATGCAAATTTCAAAGTAAGATACAGAAATTAAGCATTCCCTTCAAAACCTAATAGTTTAAAGAAGACATCAAAAGGCAAACTTCAAAATATTTTGAAACAAATCAAAACAAAAACCCAGCATTCCAAAATATGCACCAAGAAAATGATGAAAACAGAAAACCTATAGAAAGAATTGATAAAACTGGATTGGTTTGCTCAAAGTAAACAAAATCAACAAACTGTTAGCTAGTCTAAGAAAGAAAAAGTACAGAAAATTTAAAATCAAAAGTAAAAGTCAACAGAATGCAAGATCAATATTTGAAAATCAATAGCTTTTCTATACATCACTAGCTGAGAAAGAAATCAGGAACACCAATCCATTCATGATAGCTTACCCCCCAAATCTAGGAATAAACCTAACCAAGGAAGTAAAAGACCCCTGCAATGAAAATTACAGAATAATGAAGAAAGAAATTGAAGAAGGCATCAGAAGTTGGAAAGATTTCCTATGCTTGAGGACTGGCAGAGTTAATGTTATTTAAATGGCTATATTATCAGAAGTATCTACAGATTCAGAGCAATCCACACAAAGGCTCCAATGATATTCTTCACAGAGCTAGAAAACAATCTTCCTAAACTTCATATGGAAACAAGAAAGTCCCAGAAAAGCCAAAGCAATCCTAAACAAAAAGAGGAAGGCTGGAGGCATCACAATGCAAGATTTCAAATAATACTACAAAGCAACAATAACAAAAAACAGGGAACTAATAAAAATTAGACCCAGACCAATAGAACAGAACAGAGGACAGAAACAGAAGACACAGAAACAGCCCAACCTATCTGAATCTAAGAAACTAAAAGCACACACTGGAGAAAAGACACCCTCTTCCACAAATGGTGCTGTAAAAACTGGACATCTGCGTGTAGAAGACCAAAACTGGATGCCTATCTCTCCTGCCATAAAACTGCATAAAAGATCTATAAAACCTGAAACTTGGGAACTGGTAGAAGAAAGCACAGGGGAATCACTTGAAGTCTTAGGCACAGGCAAAGACTTCCTGACTAAGACTGCAATTGCTCAGGAAATAATACCAAGAATTAATAAATAGGACTATGTCAAATTAAAAAGTTTCTGCTCAGCAAGAGAAACAACCAAAGTCTACAGAACGGAACAAAATCTTTGTCAGCTACTCTTTTGAGAGGGGACACATGTTGTACTGGGCTTCATGGCTTCTGAAGACATGTTCTACCAACTGTAAAATGGTAGTATTACTAACTGCTATTCTTTTGCATTTATAGAGCAGTCTGCTATCCTGGGACACCTTGCCAACAATAATTAGTGATTTTTCACATTCTTCTGGGAAGGAAGATCAACATCACTAGCCTCATTATCATCTAAAATACATGAGAACATTATGAAAGCTACACAGAAATTACTAGCAAAATAAAGTTATACTTATTTTCTGGCTTTCTGAGTAACAGAAGCTTCTTAGAAAGACAAAATTTTCCTACTGAAAGGTAAAAATAATGTATTAAGCAATATGATCGACTTTTTGGGTCACAGTTAGCTTTAGTGAAAAAAAAAAAAAAAAAAAAAAACTACATGAGAACCACAGAGAAATAGTTCTAACCCCAGAGTTACCACTAAGAAAATCAACCATTGATTTGCCATCTTTTCATCATCTTTGAAATGTGAAGCTATGGATATTCATTCTCAAACCTCAGAAAAAACTGTGTGACTGTGATATATATGAGAGTTCTCTAACAAAGCAAAAAGGTGACAAAATATTTTAATATGAAATGGAGTAAAACATTTTAACAAAGTTTGTTATAATTTAACATAGTAACTTGTATAGATTTTAAGTGCACAGTTGAATGTATTTTTAAAATGTAATACACTGTAATCACAATAGTCAGGATATGGATCGTGTTTTATAACCCCAGGAAGTTTTCTCCTGCTCACTTAGAGCTGGTCTGTACCTCTCCAGGCAAGCTTGGATCTATCACTAGATTGCTATCACTAGATTAAGACTCTATACCAAGGACACCCCAGGCATGCAGGCACACATACACCTTTGATGGGCGGACTCACTGAAACCCAGGACACCTAGGACAATCAGTCTGGGAGCACGGAGTAATCAGCAGGGCCAGGAGCATGAAGTGTCTGAAGCATGATGAATGAGCCAGCAGTTGGGCTCTCCAACAGAAGACCAGCCCCAGCCTCCACATCCAGAGGCCTGAATCAGCTCTATACCCAGCACAATTTCCATGGCAACTAGGCTGGAGTACACAGCACATTTTTGAGACCTGATGTGCACACTTCCACAGAACTGTAAACACCAGAGGTATTTTACTTTTATTCCCCCTTGTTTGTCGGATTGGCTATCCCTTTCCTGTCTGGTTGGAAGTCATCTTGTTTTGTCTTATATTTTGTGGATTTGCTTTTGGGTTTTTTTCTTTTCTCTCCTCTTTCTTGAGTCTACTTTTTTCTTTCTTTTCTACTTTTCTTCCTTTCTTTTCCATTTTCTTTACTTTTCTTCCTTCTTTTTTCACTGTTTAGATTTCTTATCTATATTTTTCATTTTCTTCTATTGAGGCTTTTTTTCTTCAGCTACTTGAATTTGAACTTTCAAGTGAGTAAACATTGTCTCTTCGCTTTCTGATTACTCCTTCTTGTTCTATTTCATTCTTTCCCTCCTTTGTTTTCCACTTTCCCAAAACTTGGGTGATCATCCTTTGACCTCCAGCCTTGACCTCCAGCTCATTCATCACTTTATCCTGTCCCCTACCCATCTTAACTCCCACACCCCCACAAAAGTGTAAAATCACTCCACTAAGGGGAAAAATACTGCACACAAGTACATGGTATATATTTGGTTTTTGTTATATAACTTTAGAATTTGCTCCTGTGATTGGAGGTAGTAGGGTAATGGTTATCATAGTTTGTCAGTACTTAAACAGTACTTGAAACTATTGTTATTACTAACTGTACTACTTTAGCCAAGATATCATACATGTTGTAATCAGTTTTTCTCCCCTGTATGATGACAGTGTGATTGCATAGGGTCATAATCACCACCACAACCCAGTATCAAAGGACTGGGTGCTGAGCAAAGTAGTAACTTTGCATCCTTTAAAATTGGGAAGGTATGTTCTTGGTGTAGCTATAAAGAACCACCAACATATAGAGGACAACCCTGAGGAACAGATATTTCCTAGTGAAGCCTCAATACTAGTGATAAAGCTATCTATCATAATAAATTGGCAAGCGTCAACATAGAAAACAAAATAAAATAAAAAAGAGAAAATAGAAAATGACAAGGAAAATGCAACCCCAGACTCCCAACTCACTGAGGATAAGCTCAGAACACAATGAAGCAGATGAAATTGGAAGTCAAACAATGATAGCACAACAAGTGAAAAAAAAGTGCAAAAGGCTATGGAGAAAATAATCTCTCCAGAGGTATTTTACTTTTATTCCCCCTTGTTTGTCTGACTGGCTATCCCTTTCCTGTTTTTTATGACAAAAAGAAATGATGCTTAAAATCAAAGATATTAGAGAGGATACAGATAAAAGAAGAGATTAGCTTAGAAATATAATGGGAACAAAATATGCCCAACGTGGGAAAGAATGGAATCCATGAAACAGATCTAAATATAATCCAAGAGGTTAAAATATCCATTGAAGGTATATGCAATATGTATGTGCAATACGTTGAGTGAGGGACAGGATAGAATTTCAGATCCTGGAGACGGAGTTCTGGCTAGTAATCCTGAAAAGAAGCATACCTTAAAAACAGCAAGAGGCAGCAGTGGTGGCAGTGGTTGTTCCTGCCTCTCTGCCACCTCTACCACTGCCTGTCCTTCAGCTGGTGGTGTTGGTGAGGAGGAGGACAGTTGCTGTAAATCCCACCCCTGCCTCAGTGAAGATACCATATTGAGTGAAGAAAGACTGAACTTACAGGTGCTTCTTATAAAAGGCATCTGTGGAGTAGTGCTTCAGTTTGAACAATAGAAGATTTTGCATTATGAGGTGAATGGGAGTAAACTATTGGACAAAAATAAATTTTATAATCTCTGCATCATGATTTTTAGCTACCTGATTGTTGTGTAGCCTCACTATTTGGGGGTAGTTCATGCTGAAAAACTTAAGCAAGTACTAGATAAATATGACCAGATTTCTCCAGCCAGTTCTCAGCCTAACAAAAAGGATCCATTTTTGTCAACCTAAAGAAACATTCAAAGTCATATGACTCCTTTCAAGATGAACTTGAAGATTATATTAAAGTGCAGAAGGCCAGAGGCTTAGAGCCAAAGGCTTGTTTCAGAAAGATGTGGGAGGACTCTTTGGAAAGCTGTGGGAACAGGGAAGAAGTTGGTTCCAGACCCAGTCACAGAATATTCAATCAAAGCCTCCCATCTGGAACAGTCCAGACTCACCCAAGCTCACACAATACTTCACAGACAGAAAACTGGTTACCTCAGTGGTTCCCAGTTCCTGAAAACAGGCTGAGACTAGAGTCTCTGAGCTACTGTCAGTTCTCCAATTTCTCAGAAAAAACAGTGCCCTTGAACCTCAGCCAGCAAGCACATAATTATGTTTCAGCCAGTGTAGACTCTGGAGGCCCTGAACACCTCTCCTCAGGAACCAGGACTGGTGCCCATCAAGCCAGTCATCAGAAAAGAAGAAGGCACCCAGGGAAAGGCAAAGAAAAACCAAAGGAGAGGCAGCCCAAGCATAAGAGGAAAAGAAGTCTTGAGGAGGCGGATTTAGAAGAACATGTGAGCATCCAAAGAAAGAAAACAGATGTGGAAACAGAACAAGTAGAGGATGGTACAGAAAAGCCCAAGCATCATAAGGAGAAAAACAGCTGAGATGTAGCCTCTAAGAAGGAGGACTCTAAGCATAGAAAAGAGAAAAAGGAACAAGGTGAAGAAAGAACAGAGGAAGAAATGCTTTGGGACCAGTCTATCCTTGGATTTTGAAGCTCTTTAGTTCTCCTGAGGTTAAAATTGAAAAAATAGTGGAAGAGCTTGGTTTTATGATATTCAGGTTCATATCACTTATGTGAACAGATAATTTACTACTAACAAAGGCCAGGTGAATATGAAGTATTTCATATGCTTGCTTTCCAATGAGGAAATTACTTTTCCTCTTCTCTAAAAATATTGTTACTTTTTTTTTTACATTTGATATTGTTTCCCTTTAGGAGAGTGGTTCTGGCTTGCTGAAATTGCCATGATGGTGGAGTTATTTTCTCTTGGGAAATAATTTATTTAAATTGGAGGATTGTTAGGTTTTGCCAAATCTATTTCTTGATTGGATTTGTTTTAGCTTTGAGTTGTGTACATTTTATGTTCATTGGTTTTCTCTATAAAGCAGTTTAGATTTTGCCCCCTTGTTAACTTGCAGTATATTTTCTAGGCTGGAAAGTGGAAAATGAATACATTATAATAATAATAATATGCTTATGTTACACATAGTTCTAAATGTTTCAAAGAATTTTGATACAAAATCAGTTTATATTCTGGAGAAGTTTATAATAAAGTGTTTCATTAATAATAAAAAAAACCCAGCAAGACACCATGAAAAATCAATCCAACAGCTACAAGATGATGCAAAGAAGAATAAAATAAGATTGATTAGGGTCAATGAGAAAGCTGGACATGTACAAACACCATAAGAAAATTTCACAGAAATAATGGCAGAAAATTTCCCAAACATGGATAAAGAATCTGATATACAAATAAATGAAGCATATAGAACTCCCAACAGCCATGACCAAAATAAAACTACACCAAGACATACAATAATCAAAATTCTAGAAACTCAGCACAAGACATAATATTAAAAGCTGTTAGAGAAAATAAACAGATCACCTGTACAGGAAAGCCCATCAGAATCATGGCAGACCCTCAAGTCAAGCAGAGCTTGGAGTGAAGTATTTCAAGTCCTGAAGGAAAACAACTTCCATTGTTTTCCTACATTGATGTACGATGTACCCTGAAAAACTATCTTTCACAATTAATGGGAGAATAAGGTATTTCTATTGCAAAGAACTGAAGAAATTCGAAACCACCAAACAATCCCCACAAAGAGAACTGAAAGATACTCTAGACAGAGATAAAAATGACCACATTCCAAGAATAACAACACAAAAATCACCAGACAGGGTAAACAATTAAACAGAGACAAAAATCAGGGAACCAACAGCAGAAAAATATCATGACAAAGATAAGCCAACACATAGCAGTTATAACCATCAATGTAAGTTGCTTCAATTTGCCAGTCAAAAGAAACTAACTGACAATAGATGTCAGGAAAGGGAAAAAATTGCTCAAAAGAAGAAACAACTTGGATGAGGAAAAGGAGAAAAGGAAAGAGAAAAGGAAGGGAATATATATATATATATATATATCTGTGATAACTACTAAAATAGAGCATATACTAACCCAGAGAACTTGCTTAAGTGAATCCAAAGGAACTGAAATTATCCCTTGCATATTATCTGACCATAGTGCAATGAAATTTGAAATTAATGGCAAAAGAAATTGCAAAAGCACATAAACACATGGAAATTAAATAACACTCTCCTGAATAACCAATGGGTCACAGATGAAACTAAAGAAGAAATTAATATCTACAACTAAACAAGAAAGCAGATACAACATATGGGATGCATGGAATGAAATGAAAGCAATCCTAAGAGGGAAATTTACAGCTTTGAATGCTCACATCAGGAAAGCAGAAGGAGCACAAATAAACAACCTAATGCTGCACCTCAAGCTTCTAGAAAAAGAAGAGCAAGTCAAGCCCAAAGCCCAAAGAAGGGAGGAAATTATAAAGATCAGAGCAGAAATTAACACAATGGAGACTAATAAAACAATACAAATAATTAGTAAACTGAAGAGTTGGCTTTTTGAATTAATAAATAAAATTGATAGACCCTTAGAGAACCTTATCAAAAAAAAGGAAAGAAAAGATTCAAATCCATGCATTGAGGAATCAAAAGGGTGAAACCACTACAGGTCCTGTGGAAATTTAGAAGATGACCAATACCTACTTTAAAAATCTTTACTCTCATATAGTGGAGAACACAGAAGAAATGAACAAATTCCTAGATATGTATGAATTACCAAAGCTGAACCAAAAAGATATAAAAATTTTGCATGATGCAATATCAGTTAATGAGATTGAAAATATAATTAAAAATTTACCAAAAAAAAAAAAAAAACCACCCCAGTCCTGATGGATTCACAATTGAATTCTACAAGAAATTTAGAGAAGATTTAATGCCAATACTCCTCAAAATCTTCAATGAAATTGAAAGAGAAGCAATACTCCCTAACTCTTTCTTAGAGGCAAGTATTACCCTAATACCAAAACCAGAGAAAGACCCAACCAAAAAAAGAGAACTATAGGCCAATCTCCCTAATGAACATAGAGACAAAAATCCTCAGTAAGATACTAGCAAACAGAATGCAGCAAATCTCAAGAAGATTATACACCATGACCAAGTAAGATTTATCCCAGAAATGCAAGGATGGTTCAATATATACAATTCAATAAATGTAATACACCATATCAACAGAATCAAAGACAACAATCACATGATCACCTCAGTAGGTGCAGAAAAAGCTTTTGACAAAGTTCAACACATATTCTTGATAAAAACCATACAGAAAATCAGAACAGATGGTCTTTACCTCAACCTGATAAAAGTCATCTATGACAAAGCAACAGCCAACATCACACTAAATGGACAAAAATTGAAACATTTCACTCTAAAATCAGGAACAAGACAAGGATGTCCACTATCATCACTCTTATTCAGGATAGTTCTGGAAATATTAGCTGGAGCATTTAGACAAGACAGAGAAATAAAATGAATAAAGATAGGAAAGGAAGAAGAGAAATTATCATTATGCTCAGATGACATTATATTTCACACAAAAGAACTCAAAAACTCCACCAAAAGACTCTTAGATTTAATAACCAAATTTAGTAGCATAGCTGGATACAAAGTCAATGCTCAAAAATCATTAGCATTCCTGTACACAAATAAGAAACTCACTGAGAGAGAAATCAGGCAAACCACACCCTGTACAACAGCATTCAAAAAAAAAAAAAACTTAAGAGTCAATCTAACAAAGGAAGTAAAACATCTATACTTTGAAGAAAGGAGATTTAAGAGGGTATCAGAAAATGGAAAGATGTCCCTTGCTCAAGGATTGGAAGAACCAACACTGTGAAGATAGCCATACTTCCAAAATTTATTGTACAGATTTAATGCAGTCCCAATCAAAATACCATTAGCGTACCTTACAGAACCAGAGAAAACATTCTTGAAATTCATTTGGAGCCAGAAGAGACCTACAATAGCAAAAGCAATTCTGGGCAACAAAGGCAAGGCCAGAGCAAAACAATCCCATACCTGAAATTCTACTTCAAAGCTACTGTAATAAAATCAGCATGTTATGGGCAAAAAAACAGACCTAAAGATCAGTGGAACAGATTAAAAGATGCAGACACAACTACAAGCACACTCAGTCACCTTTTGTTTGACAAAGGGGCCAAACATGTTCACTGGAAAAAAGACAGCCTCTTTAAAAAATGTGCTGAAAAAATTGGCTGTCTATATTCCAAAGACTAAAACTAGACCCATGTTTATCACAATGCACTAAAGTCAAAATGGATCAAAGATCTAAATATTAAAACAGAAACACTGAGTCTACTGAAAGAGAAAGTAAGTACAAGTCTTGAAGACCCAGGTGTAGGCAGAGACTTCATGAACACAACCCAAACTGCCCAGGAAATACTCCTAAGAATCAACAACTGGCAGCTCATTTTATTAAACAGCTTTTGCACATCAAAAGAAATCACCAACAGAGTGAAAAGACACCCCACAGAGTGGGAAAAAATTTTAGCAAATAGGCCCTCAGACAAGACTTATATATAAAGGATTGAAAAAAACCTGAACCCCCAAATTTAAAGACTCAATCCAAAAATGGACATCTGAGATGAATACAGACTTCACAAATAAAGAAATACAGATAGCAAATTAATATACAAAGAAATGTTCAACATCATTGGTCATTCAAGAGATGCAAATTAAAACAACACTGAGATTCCATCTCTGTCCAGAAAGAATGGCTATCAGCAAGAAATCAACCAATAACAAATGCCGGAGAAGTTGTGGGGAAAAAGGAACTGTTTTCTACTGTTGGTAGGAGGGCAGACTTGTGCAGCCACTGTGGAAATCAGTGTAGAGATTCCTCAAAAAAACAGAATTATAGGTCCTATTTCACCCAGCTATTCCCCTTCTGGGTATCTCCCCAGAAGAATTAAAAACATCATACCACAGTGATATATGCACACCCATGTTTATAGTAGTGCAATTTGTAACAGCTAAATTTTGGAAACAACCCAAATGCTCACCAGCCAAGGAATGGATAAAAAGAAATGGTATTTTTGAGGAGTAATACTCAGCCATAAAGAAGGATAAATTTGAGACATTTCTAGATAAATAGCTGCATTTGAGACCATACTCTTAAGTGAAATAAATTGGACTTGTATGTGGAACTATTGCATTGTCTCCCTGTTGTGAGAAACTGAAAGAATAAATAAGGACCAATATACAATAAATATTGTGAAATGGGAAAAAATTGGTCTAAAGGAAGAGGAACTAGAGAAGTGGAAGGGGGAAAGGAAGGAAGAGAAGAGGGGAAAAAGCCATAATAAAAGGTGATAAAATGGAAACAATGCTTTGTAAACAGGAAGAGGAAGAGAGTTTGAAGGGAGGAGAGAGCATGGGGAGAAAAAGAGGAAAGAAAATATATCATTTACAGGTGCAAATTCCTTATGATGACAATGA